CCCATCACTCGCCACCGTCACCCACCCACCCACCATCACCGCCGACTACCCATCCGCCACCACCGACCCCCCCCCGCCATCTGCCACCCCCCTGCCACCACCACTCACCATTCGCCACCACCACCACCACCACCTACTAACTACCACCCACCACTCGCCACCGTCACCCACCCACCTACCACCACCACCCACCCGCCACCACCCATCACCACCAGCTACCCACCACCCACCGTTACCACTTTCCACTACCGTCTTTCGCCGCCACTTGCCACCACTTGCCATTTTTCACTCTTTTTTATATTTTTAAATTTTTTTAAATATTTTATCAATTACCAAACGCGTTTGTAGTTTATATTTTTCTAAAAATAAATAAAAAATAAACAAAAATCAATTTATAAAATTTTTATAAATATAAATTAAAAACGTAAACGTTACCAAACATACCTTTAGTGTTTCTATCATTATGGATAAATTTTGAAGTGAAAATTATGATAAGTGAAGAGTGAAAAAATGTTTATAAAAAAATTTATAATATTTTATAAATATTTTTTCCTCATCCAATTTTCAATTCGTCTTCAATGGTGGGGGACAGCATTTATGTCTTTAATGACAGTGAAGTGACTTGCAAAACTAAAAAAACTATAGTAATTATGTTTTGGGGCCCAAGATTTGCCTAACATTCATAATTAGCAAGTAATAAGTGTGTATGTATCACCGGCTACACTTCATTGATTGAAAAAGGGTTTGATTAGCACGCTTATAACATTAAGTATTGTTTTATGAAATTGATTAAAAGTTAATTTTTTTTATATTAAAAAAAAAATAGAGAGGTGATATAATTTTAAAAAAATTTAAAAATTAACTTTTAACCAACTTATTAAAATGGCCCTAATTTGTAAATTTATTTGTAAAATTGAATTGATGAAAAATATACAATTATTTAATATTTAGTCGAAAAAAACTATGTCTCAAGCTTAAAGTGTCAAAATTTATTCAAAATGAATATATGTGATAGAAATTAAATTGATGAAATATAAGATGTATGAATAAAATAAATTTAAATTATTAATGTTTCTTTTTAAATAAATTTTGTATAAATAATTCTAAATTCTAAATTCTAAATTCATGGTCTTGCTGTATTTTGTTTACTAATACCCTTAGCCTTAAAAAGGTTTCGCTAAGGAAGTGCTAGTCACTGTTTTAAAAAGTAGTTAATGTTGATATATATTACTTCATTTTCTTATTTGTAAACTCATGTATATGACTGATCCTCTCAATTGTAAAAATTATATAAATACATCATCATTTTTATATGTAGTTTGGAGGGTCTGTTAAGGTAAAAAAAAGTCAGAATATATGTGAAGTCAAGTAATATTCACAAAAAATTGAGGGAGTTGTGTGTAAATAATCTTAAAATATATATTACAATTTTATTTTTTTTGGGCCAAGTTTGACAACTTAAAAATAATCTATCTTTTTATCTTTTTTTCATCACATTACCTCTCTAGTTTTCTGTATATCTTTTCGTAAAAAGATAAAAAAATACATTTATTTAAATCATCTCAAACAATTAAAAGTCAACTTTTAATTTTTTGACTTTTTCAATTTTTAAAATTTTTTACATATTTTTAAAATAATAATAATAGTAAATTAACGGGGGATGCACCAATAAATCCCAAATTAATAACTTATACACTGTTTAGTCCTAAAAGTTTTCTTATAGACTGAAAGGTCCCATTACAATGTTTCAAACATCAGATTAATGTTTCGAACATTAGATTTCGAACATCAGATTAATGTTTCGAACATTAGATTTCGAACATCAGATTAATATTTCAAACATTAGATTGATGTGCAAATGGGACTAAATGAAGTATAAAAAAATTTTTAAGACTAAATGGTTCAATTTTTCAAAAACTAAGACTTATGAATAAATTTTCCGTAAATTAACTAACTACCTAAAATAAGCCATACGGTCAACTTTAACAAGACCTTTTAACCTAATCTTTGGAAAAGCATGAATCACTCATTACAAACAAGTCACATGCATGTGGGAAGACGAATGTAAAGACTCCTAGCTCTTTAGTCATCTTTAAATTGGGTTTTGTGGGGGTTAACATCCATACGTTGACTTCATTGACCCCCAAAAAGAAAGATTCACATGTTTTCGACCCTTCCACTTAAAAAGGTAAATAAAAGAATTTGATGACAAACAAAAATGATAAAGAAATGTTTCATACATGTTTGATAGAAATAAATTATGTGTAACTAATTTTTTCATACAAAGCTGTTCATGTATTAACAATAATATATATACTGAAATTTTAAATTACCAAAATCACCAATGTAAAAGAAAAATATTCACATATATTTATGAATGCAAATATTTTATTTCATATCAATGAATTTAAAATTTAAATTTTCGGTGGTAATACCATTTTTTCTAGAAAATAAATGTCATTCAAATTGTATATTTAAGCCAAGTTTGGCATGATTGAAAAAAGACAAAAAGTCAAAAAGTCACTATCCTATTTAAGTCACATCATCTTATTTACGTCACATCACTTCTCTAACACATCACTTCAAACCCAACCCATATTTTATAAAAAGTCAAAAAGTACACTTATTTAGTCTTCTCAAACTAGGCCTTAATACTTTTCGTTGTAATATGAAAGACGGTTTGATGCACCAAATGAAAAAAAAGAAAAAGAAAAAAAAAAGAGCTCTTTCTTGAATGACATATAGGTTTTCTCCTTAACAACTACTACTCACCCAAAAAATAAAAAATAAAAAATCCGAGGTTGGATCACAAACTCAAAACAAACCTGTCTTGGCACTTGCATTACCCTTGCAAAATATTGTCTCCTAATTTAACTCTTTAAAATATCAACAAAAAAAAATCTTAATTCAATTCTCTTAAGAAGAGTTAAATTCATAATCTCCTCTTTAAAACTAAATTCTTAAGAGAGTATTTACCTCATAATTTAACTCTGTTTTAAAGAGAATTAACCTCATAATCTCTTCCTTAAAACGTAACTTTTAGAAGAATTATGATAACTAATGAAACTTAAGTTAGATGGTCTTTTAAAAAGCTTCTTGTTAATACGTATCTTTAATGCATTAGTATATGTTATGAAAGCCTGAAATACATTATTTATATGAGTAATACTAGGGATCATGAAAAAAATATTTTAAAATGCATCATAAAGATTTTTCATCCTTTGATTAGTGTGTGGTGTTTTATTATATGTGTAATCCAAAAGTAGAGAATCTTTCATGATCATTTTCATGACACTTTTTTTTATGACCCCTAGCATTATTCTATTTATAATTTTAATACACGCATTTTGATGATGATGTACAATTTATTTAAACATGTACAAAATCCTTTTTCAAATGAGAGAAAATTTAAGAGAAAACAATTAATGAAAAATAATTAACAAAAGGGTTTTACTTGCACTCAGCCCCTTAACTACTAATGAATGTCAATTTATCTAATGAGTATCAATTTACTTTTCATCGATCTGTATATATTCACCTTGCAACTATGAAAATCTCACCCTTTTGGAAATAATCTGAAGGAGGACTGCAAATAGTCATTGATATATTTTTATAATTGAGAATCCTAAAATATATAAATTTATAAATAAAGGATAAAATAATATTTATTAATAGTTGTGAGGTGTTAATGTAAATTAACTCTCAACAGAATTCAAAACTATACACATGCAACAAAATTTCCCAATTCCACTAATTGTATAAATAAAATATCAAGAAATCTCTATAAATCCTAACCAAAAAATTCACAAAAAACAACTCACATCAATTCTATACAACAAAGAAGGCTACCCATCATCACCACTCCAAAAAACAAGAAAAACAAATACTGTAAATGAAATGAAAACTATATAAAAAAAAATTAAAAGAATGCAAAATACAGAGAGAGAGAGAGAGAGAGAGAAGTGATAATGATCAAACACCACCGTAGCCACCGTCACAAGCGCAACCGCCGCCGCCGCCGCTGCCGGAGTCACCTTGAGGGCGGGGTTTGGTGCTGAGGCAACAACACATGAGACCAACCAAAAGCATGAAGCCCCAAGCAGAGGCCAAGGCTTGTGCCCAACTCAAGTAATACCCCATCTTCTCAAGTGGTAATAATAATACCTTTTTTCTTCACTTAATTTCCACACTCCTCTCTTCTTCATCTTCTTCTCAACACTCTATTGATCAGCTTCTTGCTTCTCATCACACTCATACCCCAAAACATGGTACAATTCAAACTCCAAAACCAAAGAGAGACACAGAGAAAAGGGCATCAGTCTCAGCTGTTTATAGAGACAGAGAGAGAGAGAGAGATAGATAGAATGGAATCTAAAAAAAAGCTATAATTGACTGCTTTTATGAAGAGGGTGTGTTTTGGGGAGAGAAATAGTGGTTCACATGGGCTGAGCTTGAAAGAGGCCAAAATAACATGGGCCAGCCTGTATACTTAGCAGCAATTACCGAGCGCACAGTGGGTGAACTCTGTGGCCTCAAATGGTATGTATGGGAGTGTTTCATGCAAATTAAATAAGTTATTTGTGGTTTATTTTAATTTAAAAGTTTGTGTGTTTGATATAGTTTTTATTTACAGTTATTATGTAAAAATAATTTAATTAAAAAAATTGATTACTTGAAAGTTGAAAAGGAATTTTTTTGACTTGTGTTTTTTCCATCATCTACTTTTAACTTATAATCAGTTATATCAAATAAGCCCTAAGTAATTTGTATTCTATATAAATAATAAAAGGAAAATTCTATACATAAAGATATTTCTTTTCTGATTTTTTTATTTTATTTTATCGGTAGATATAAAAGATATAAATCTATGTGTTTATTGATGTGAGTTTTATTATTATAAATCTATGTGTTTATTGATGTGAGTTTTATTATTTTTGTGTTTAGTGATAAGAAAAATATGATATTTGTGTATAATATTACTCTGAATAAAATTGTGGTAGGTCATCAATTTGAAGACATCAAACAAAGGGCAATGGAATCTTTGGGTTGCAATACATTGTGCAAAAAGGGAAGTTTTGTATTCGAGCTAATTAATTTAATTCTCATTCCCTACAAGCAAGTTGTTTATTATGCAAGCACAAGTATTACATTTCATAATTTTTTAAAAGTTGTAGTTTAAAGTAAAACATACATTTCTTTGGCATTTTTTTTTTTTTTTTTTTGGGGACACATTGAATGTCGAAACTTAGCAAAGGTTGGTAGGACAAAACTTGAACTATTAATTTGCTAGTAATATGTAATATTTTAGGCAACTCAACTATATTAGTTCTGATTGGTTTACTCAGGGCACCAAAAATTGATTGAGCTGCTATAGTTTTACTAGTATTTAGTTTGTTAAAAATTTATTCAAAGTCGTTTTGTTATGTAATTAAGTTAAATTTAAACACATTATATACATAAATTTAATTTAAATACATTTAAAACTCATTAAATTTTAAATTAAATTTACACAATCTATAATTATAATTAAAAAATTACAATCTTATACTTGTATTTCAATTACCATAAACAAATTAATAATGATTTGAAATATGGAGATGATATGCCCAAGGTTCGCTGCCTAAAGTAGCCATATGATTTTATTCCTACTGGCACGTTTTGGGAATTAAGATCGTCTCTCATCTCTCTCCTTAATTCCCTCTTTACTAGGTTATTGGGCTCACTTTTGAATCCAATTTTGATGATTCGAACCGTTCACATTTTAAGATTTATTGAACATATCATACCTGTAAAAAATCAAATTGATCGGATATTAGAAAGCATGTATTCTGAAAATTGTTTATTAGATTTTTTTTAAAAATGGTTTGTAGTTTGATGATCCAAACATGGTTTCTGATATCCGATCAGCTTGATTTTTTACAGGTATGATATATTCAACAAATCTTAAAATGTGAACGGTTCGAATTATCGAAATTGAATGTAAAAGTAGGGCCAATAACCTAGCAAGGAGGGAATTAAGGAGAGATATGAAGTCGAGGGTCTTGATTCATGTTTTGGTAACCCCCATAATTTTGTGAAATAATAAAAAGAAAGTCAATAATGATAATAATAATAACTAATATTAAGAACTTATATGATCATAAGATTGATTGCTATGTAAAGCACATTTTAAGGCGGATGGCCTTGGCCGATCAAGAATATAAACTCAATTAGCTTCTTCTTTTTTTTTCTTTTTTTTTTTGTGATTTCAATTAGCTTGTTTGATTTTGATTTTCAGAAAACACTTTTCAAATTTTTTTTTTTTATATTTTTCATACATTTTTATTTTCAATGATTTTTTTTAATATTTGAAATAATTTTTATTTTTTTATTTTTAAGACACATCTAACATAAATACACCTAAAAAATATAATATTTGTGAATTTTTTTTTAAAAAAATCACTAAATATAAAAAATATCAAAAATATTATACAAATCCAGTATATTTTTCATATTTTTTTGTATTTATTAATTTTAAAAAATAAATATTTTACTATTTTGATACATCTAAATAAAGTGTCTAAAAAAGCAAAAAACAAATATATATATATATATATATATTAAAAATAGAATAAAAAAACACGAAAAACAAAAACTCAATTTTCAGAAAACTGAATTCAAAAATTAAAACCAAACACGTTGAATATTTTATTTTTTATTTTTTTGATTGATGTATGATAGTTTCAAAAAGTCCAATGAATTTAAACTTAATAAAAATTAAATATAATTTATAATTAATCAGGTAAAATTTCACACAATCTCATAAATAAATATTAAAAAAAAAACATATATATATGGATTATTTTAGAGTACATAACCCTCAAAAGGATGTATACCATAGACACTTGACATAATTAAATCTTTTTTAGTATAACAAAAAATAATTTCATTCATAATCAAAATAATAGTCATGACTAACAACATAATAGATCATTATCAAATATTATAAATATCATAACTGAAGTATATAATATACCTAAAAAATGGAACGTACACAAAAATTCCTAGTGTTCCTTATGGATGTTAGCACATAATTCTGAGAGAAAATTTGTGGGATTTAAAACCCAACAATTATTTTGAGAACCTCAAGAAATATTTTATTGATCTTGACAAAAGGACTTGATTGCAATATTATTATTATTATTATGTGGCATGGAAAAATAAAAATAAATTGGGCAATTAAAGATGAAGGTATAGAGGAGAAGAGACACTGCGCCCCTATGAAGACTTGTTGCTATCCAAGAGTTTCAATCACACAAATTGACAGGCCCCAATCAGTGTAATGGCGGGTATACTTTTAAAATAATCAACTCTTAAAAAATGTCTAAATATAGAGTAATGTTAGGAATTCTAAATAATCTATCAAATTTTTTACTAAATCTGTTACAAGAGTATCAGACCTATACACATGTAAATTTGTATAGATCTCGCACTCATGTGAGAAATTTGATAAAAAAAATAATAATAAATTATTTAAAATTTATAGCATTTTCCTTCCAAAATTAGATAGACAAGCCTGCAACAACAATCCATTAATCCAATGGACCTAATTCAATAGAGCAAAATGTTTGATTCCCAAATAAATGAATGATTGATGAAGTTCTTTTTGCCAAATAAATAAATAAATCGAATTGTCTGAAAAGTGTGCACAAAATTACATTAATGGACTACATTAATTTTCGATTCGACTCACGTCACACTAACTTTAATCTACACCATACACTTCATTTTCAAGATAATTTTCGGAATTCAGAAAATGATTTGTTAGCTTGATGGAATTGTTTATCCAAATAGGTTGAAGCAAAGAAGGCCTCCATATCCAAAGTGTCCTACCATCGCTGAATTTGCAGCTCAATTTCCTTTTAGTTGTATTTAGATCACGAATTTGGAAAGAAAAAGAGAGAATATAGGTGAATTATTGAGATATATAATTCACATTTCATCCATATTTTCCCTTTCCCTGCCTAAATCCATGATCGGAACATAGACATCCCAGTCCAGTGGTAACACTTTTCTATTCTCATATATATTCTCTTACCAATTGTTCACTAAACTAAAAGAAAATGGGCAAATTAAAACATCTATCAAAGCTGGCTTCAACAAGCACCAGACAAAAAAAGAAACCAAAACCAGCTCAAAACTTCTATAAACCTCAAAACCTCTATACCAGCTCAAAACTGATATCACTTCTTGCAGCAATATAATTATACAAGCATATGTGAACTAAGACCATTTACCCAAAAACAGAAACACAGAAGTTACTAACAAGACTGGCACTGGCTCAAACAACTAATGTTTTGAAAAGTAATACAGGATATCTTTACGTGGGCTCAGGAATTATATAAACATCCTTATCTGACTGCACATAAGAATTCTGACTGATTTCTTCATAATATGGATGATGATAAATATCAAGTGTTTGTTTTGGCTAAAAAAAGCGTTTCAGACTGCAACCCGTTTGATGATCTGCACGATTGGCAGCCTGTCACCTAAGCACTCAGCATCACAACCATGGAAATTATTTCATTGCAGCGCCCAGAGCAGAGTCCAAATTCAGAGGACTGCACTGCACTAGCTTCTGAACTAACAAGAATTCCCTAAATGGAGAAGAGACAAATTTTGAAAGCTGATTGGGAAATAAAATAATATATATAATTCTCAAGTTAAAGATGTCTTAAAACATGTAAGCTTCTAGAGGTTTAAAATCCCAGATTCGCAGTTTTGACAAACAGACAATTTAACATCTGTAGATGGTAAACTATTGTGCTTTTGATGACGTGCACACTGGTCTTAACTCAAAACCTTAAATATAAGATGGCGCGAGTGAGAAATTTTTAGAAGGCTGATTACAAGCATTAGTGTGTTTACTATTTACTATGAGCAGTTGCAAATTACATCATCTTGCTTTCTGAACCAAAACTATGAGATGCATGCTACAAGAGAACACTGACATAGGCAGTTTATCAGTTACCTATACAAACACTCATGGTTTTGACTCAAGAAAAGGCCCATTATCTACTCTTAACCTAGGACCCACAAACTGAAGGCAAGGCCAATGACATTTATCCCAAGCCAAATACTTCCCTAGCACCTAACAGGCTAACACAAGAACATCAACAAGTGTGTGCCTATGCACCCATATAAAAATAAAATGATAAGAGAAATCCCCTTCCAAAGAAAATTGAAGAAAAGCAAAAAAGATGGCACCTAGCATCATGAACTATACAAATATAAAAAACATATACAGAATGAAATGGAAAGCAATGAAAATGTTCTGGAACTAAGTCATGATGTGGTGAAAAGGTAATTGCATGATGAAATGTCACCTTACAAAATAAAATGCATAATGAAGTTTGTCCTTGTTGCAGTTAGGTAACCCCCTAGCTGCTTACAACTCTAAGGGGTTTAGCACCTTAAGTCAACATTTAACCTTTGAATTAGTGATCTCTTTTAAATGGAGATACTCTTAAAGTATATAATGACACTATAGAAAGTGCATTTCATGAACCAATTGACAGCAGAAAAGCTAATCTAGAAAGCATTGCAAAAATGGGGAAATGTTAAACAAAAGCATGCTTGCACACAACAACAATGATCCAAATAAAAGACAAATGATAAAGCTAAAGTTTACTCACATCCAATATTCTCTATGGAGGAAACTACAGCTCGCTATAGTTGCGCCAAACTGCACGGAATTCTTCACAGAATGTGTTCAAACGTGCTTTCAAGTTAGGTGTTCTAAAGCTTGCAGGGAGAAGGGCAGCTGAGAGAGAGAGAGAGAGAACAAATTAGCTAGAAAATATGCAAAATGTCAATGAAACAAGCTTGACAATAGTACCAAATAAGAAGTAATGTACCAAGAAGGCCAATTGCAAATGCCCATAGGACAGTTAAAGAGGCCACACGAAACAAACCCAAGGATGAAACTCGCTACAGAAAAAAGAAATACAAGAGAATCAGTCGATATTTTTTGATGAACAAAATTACTGCAATACAGTTGTACTCAGTGAAAATTTGAAACGAAATTGGTCAAGAAATTTTCCTTACCAGAAGAGAATATCAAGACAAACACCCAACGAG